GGTTGTTGTTGTTGTTTTTGTCTTTTTGTTTAAAACTGTGTTTGCTGGTCCCTTCTCTTCCTGTTAGGGCTTAGTGTGGGAGTGGGACAGTGGATCTCAGCCTGCTGGCCCTCAGCTCTCCCAGGGCAGGCTGAAGATTTTGCTTTTAGCTCAGGGATTCTGTCATCAGGTGGCACTGCCTATCAAACAGGCAAGTGCTGGAATTCCAGTGGCAGAAAAGCTCAGTCTGCAGAGCTTTCCAGGGTGGGATCATATAAAAAAGGTGACTCAACTTGGCCCTCAGGGTATGGGTTGATTTCCCTACCCATCCCATTGAGAAGGAAAAAACATCTCAGCAGAGCAACCTTTTCTAGAGTTACAGAGCAGAGATTCCTGTGGTGTCTCTTTCAAAATATTGTCAGTAACCGAGAATTAACCTGTTTTACAGTTAATAACAACTGTAAAACAGGTTAATTCTCTGTTACTGACAATATTTTGTAAATTATCAGGCTCTGTGGCTGCAAAGAGAACATTTGTGCCCCTAAAATAACCTGCCACAGCACAGGAATGTGATCCCTGTGCTGTTAAATAGTGAGGTTAATCCTTCACGTGGCTTTAACCTGCTCCCATTCTCCCAAAGTACTCCAGAGGGGCTCTGGGGCTGAGCCAGCCCCAAARAACATTCCCAGAGGACAGTTCAGATGCAGTCCCTGTTCTGGAAGGCTGGAAAATGAGATAATATGGATGTGSCAATTTGTTCTAGCTGGCCTCAGGGACAGAAAAGCTTTGTCACCATTCAGTTTCTTTACACAGATGTATCAGCTTATGTCCAAATAAAGGTATTTTGTGTAGGGTTAGAAATAAAAATCCTGTGAGGGTTTTTTTCCACCTCTTTTTCTTTCTGCCCACTCAAGTTCAATATTTTATTTTCTACCGTTTCTTACGTTTTTCTGAGACTCTGATGCTGGAGATATTCTATGAAAAATAGCACTATTATTATAATTTTCTTACTACAAAGATGGATTTGCCTTTGACCTGGACTACCTACATCTACCTTTTCAAATGACATTGGATTGGAAATGGGAAGAAAAGGGGATAGGGCAGAAAAAAAATCAAGCATTGACATATTTCAGACAAAACTTATTCCTTCAGAAATACATTGTGACATTTTGTTGACTGGGTTTTGAGAGAGAAAGTTGACTACACTGATGTTTGAATTTGGTGGTTAAAATGCCTTTAACAGARCTGTTTGCTTGGTTTTGTTGTTTTTCTTTTAGAGTCCTCAGTGAAAAAGCAGAAAAAGACATTCAGCCTCGAAGAAAAATCCAAATCTTCCAGGAAACGTGTCCACTATATGAAGTTTGCCAAAGGTAAGAGGAGTTTTGTTGTTTCATAAGCCGTGGCCAARATTAGAACAAGCCCTGCTCAAGGTGATCTGTTGCCTTCTGGAATCTAAATATGGCAAGTAAAACCTAGGTTTAGAAACACCCCCTGCAGCAACTTGCTTAAAGCTCTGATGCACTSTTCCTTTATGTTTTGGGGAATTTTGGATGATGTTGTGAATAAAACAATCCCTTAAGTGAAGGAGCTGAAAAAAGGAGCAGTGAATATCCCGAGGGGTCAGAGTGTGGGCAGGGATGGGAGCAGGAGGGAAAGGTGAGATGGGAGTGACTTAGGCATCTGCGTGGCACTATCCCCTGCAATCTGCAGTAACCCCTGCTCAGAGATCATGGGGATGAGATCAGGGAGCAGATTAAACCTGCACGAAGGAAGAGGAAAGCCCTCTTACATTGACCAGGTACTTGATGGGATAAATTAGGGCAGTGCTTGGTGGCCACAAAAACTCTATCAAGAACTCGTGGAGTTTATTAATTTCTTTCTGAGAGTGATATTATTTCAGTGGGCCCAGATTCTGGCCCTTGACAGTTGTTCAGTCCTGTCCCTGTTCCTCTGTTCCCCTTTCACACGGTGTGTGTGCCTGTTTCAGGACATGGATAGGATCAGTTTCCACTAATGGCTGATTTATTAAACTGCAAGCTCTGTGTAATGTTTTCTGACAGCAAATACCTCTGCTAAAACAGAGCTAATTGGTATCTGAATGGAGGCCTAATTTTCATATCGGGTTTGGGGATTTTTGGTGAAATAATTCAACCTTGAAGTCCAAGCTGTTAACATRAGCCTGCCACTTTATGACATTAAACAATTAAATTGGCTCAGGGCTTGCAAGTACAGAGGCCATGGCCTGTTTGAGATAGTAGCAAAGAGGATTTATTTTGATTTGGATTTAACCTTTTACTAAATATAGAGGAAAAAAAGAACTGTGTTTTGAGCATATAAAATACAGCTCAAGGCTTTCATATTTACAGTATCCCTGATTTGTTTGGTCACATTTCCACAAGGCAGCCTTCCATTTGCTTGTACCCTCTGTGGCCTGAAACAGGGGGAATTGTCCTTTTTCAGGGAAAGAGGAAAAGTTATTTGAGAAAGGTTCATGTTGTTGTGGCTCTTGTTATTGGAGTGCAGTCCTGCTTCCTTTCAGACTAAACAAGACAAGCTCACACAAAAGGGGGAGAAGGGAACAGCGACGGCACAAAAYGCGGCTTCCGCTCCCGGAGCTGCTGGAGGAGCAGCCACCCCTGGATCTGGGAAATAACACCCCAATCTCCCATTAAAACAGTTATTTGATTTCATCTCTTTTCTAAGAGTTGATCCACTGTGATGCTGCAGGAGATTGGGGCTGTCAGCTGAGTTGGTTTTCTGATCAGGAAGGAATGGGGGATACATCCAGGGGGATGCACGGAAAAGAAGCAGAGCCTAAAAACAGGAGCAGGAGGATTTTGAGGTGTCACATTCCAATTCTTGACCAAGGTAAAGCTGGAAATACCCCACAGTTTCACCCAGCTTGTTTGGACATGGCCATTTAAAGGCTGTCCAGTGAGGCACCAGGAGGCTGGGAAACACTGGCTCCTCTAGGCTGATGTGTCTGTTCACCCTCTGAGGGCAGTTAAGGATCCCAAGAAAAAGGTTGAATAGTCAGATTTGGGGATTTTTTTTTTGTTTTAGTTTTTTTTGTTTGTTTGTTTTGTTTTTGTTTGGTTGCTTTTTTTTGTTGTTTGGTTTGTGTTTATTTTGGCCACTACAATATTTATTTTTTGTTGTTTGGTTTGTGTTTATTTTGGCCACTACAATATTTATTTTGAATTCAATGATTTCACAATCAGAAAATCAAGTGATTTAAGACCCCAGCAGACTCTTAACGAGCAGACCTGTCTGGACTAATTCTGCTCCTTTCACTTCTGCTGATCTTTTAAAAAACAATTTTCTGACAGAAGCAGTGAGCAACAGCTCCTGTACTATGGAATTGTCTGAATTTTTCCTGTGTCTCTGAATTTCACATCACGCCCTTCTGCTTCCTCATCCCTTCTCCACATCTGATATCCAGCTTGTCACACAACAATCAGATGGGAATAATGGCCCTCCTGGAAATCTTTGTTTTACCCTTGAAATTGTTTTGAGTTGGAATAACCCAGTGTGTGGCAGAGGTTGAGRTTTTGCTTTTGAGAAGCAACATCAGGAATTGAAGAAAAGTCCCCACTGAGTAAAGATGGATTTTTTTTCATTGTGCAGAGGAGTTTTAACTCCCTCATTCTGTCAGAAATCAGGAATCCTCATGAGAATCCAAAGATCCCACATACACACATTTCCTCTCATATACCTTCATTTAGTTGCTTTAGCATTGAACCACAGAGTGGTTTGGGTTGGAAGGAACCTTAAAGCTCATCTCATTCCATGCCCCTGCCATAGGCAAGGATACCTTCCACTATCCCAGGTTGCTCCAAACCCCATCCAGCCTGGACTTCCTGATTTTTGTTCACCTCCCAAAGTAATTCCTCTCCCTCTGAAGGTCACAGATACCAAAATCCATCCTCAGATGTGAAGGTTTGGGGTTTTTTTTCCTCTCTTTACTTTTTCCAGGTAAGGATCTCTCATCACGCACTGAACAGGACCTGTCCTGCATTTTTGGGAGAMGACAGAAGAGTGCCAAGACCCAGGTACACAAGATTCTTCTTTCTCTTGTTTCCTTGTTTGTTATCCCTTATAACAAAATATCCAAATGTCCTTCTGCTGATGTGTTTTTTCTGCTTAAAGGGCTGTGCTTGAATTGTGAGGAAATAAGAGTAAATTTAATCCATGTTTTTGTGGATTATTGTATTGTGATGTAACTTCTTTGGAGTTAAGGAACTCCAGCTTTTTAATTTTGTGTTAGGAAATGTACTTCACAAAAGAGAATTTTGCTTCATTTGAAAGGCCAAAGGTTGGACTCAGTGCTSTKAAATGTSTTCTCCAACCTRAATGATTCTGTGAAAGATCCATAAATATCCAAAATAAAATTGGACATTCAGTAGCAACTGGGCAGTCTCCACAAACTGCCCTTGTTTTCACAAAAATTGGGAAAGGCTGAGCAGCTGCAAAGGATTCAGAGGTGGCCTGAGCACTGATAAATATTTAATGAGAAGACCTTTCCCCTGACTTTGTTTTATGAGATCAAGGTTTGGACCAACTTTTATTTTATTTATATGTTTATTAGCATTTTGCACTTGCAGAGCACAGACCTGCTCTGTCAGTGGATAAAATAACTATGACATGACCAACGTATTCTGAAAGGTCCTTTGGAAAAAAAATAACATCTGGAAAAGCACAAATGAGTAAATATATTGCAGGAATTGCTCTGTTGATTCAGAGTTCTTGGAAGTCTCATGTTTTGAGGGAAAGATGGGGCTTGAAATGGAGTGGAAATTTCTGGAATACCCTGTAGTGTTTGACACCTTGCTCTTTGTGCAGTACTCTTGGAAAATCTGGTGGAYCTTCACTGCAGGTCACCAGGAGCTGAAATAAGGATTTGGGAACTTCCAATGTGTGAGAGCTGTTGGAGCTCTCAAATGCTGTGGGTAAACTTGTACCAGTGTTGGGTAACACTCCTGATCACCTGAATATGCCATGGATCTGCTCCTTGGCTCCCTTGCTGTCAGAGCAGTGGGAAGCAGGAAAAACTGGGATTTAAAGCAATGGGATTTAAAGCAACTGGGATTTAAAGAAACTCAGCACTGCTGGGGTTGGGGGAGCAGATTTTGCCCACCCATGTGTCGTCTCAAGTCTCTCTGTATTTTCCATGTCTTTTCAAATTCAATGTTGGAAGGTTGTTTCTTCTGGGACTTTTTCCTGCAGAACATTTGCTGCTTTGTGGATAAACTCTGCAAATCACATGGATTTTATGAAGGGTGTCTTACGTTTGTGCATGTTTTCATCAATCCCTTGACAGATGCAGTGGTTGGCTGATGGCTACTGTGCAGATTTCCTGAAATGGTTCAAGCTTCTGACAGAAAAGTCACAGACTGTTCTCTCCTAAGCACCCAGATTTCCACATGCAAATGCAGGCAGGAGGGAACAGAATTTGGAGCTGCATTGTWGTCTTCTGGCTGCTGTCTGCTGCTGAGCAGCCACAGGCAGAGGAAACCAGAGGCAGCACAATTGCTTCCCCCAGCTCCCCCTTCTCCTTCTCTTCATGGATCAGAGATCTGTGGAGTTTGCACAGAACAAAAGTGCATTGCTCAGGCCCTCCAGCTCTGAGCAATTTCATTTCACTGCACCCATGAACTCTTATGATCCCTTTCCATCATGTTCCAGAGCCTGGGCCTTAAGGTGGCACACAGGGAAGTGCCCCAGAAGGCTTTGCAGGAATTTTCTGTRTTGGAATTCTGGTTTGAAATCCCCAAGCTCTGGGCATTTCCCCACTGTGCCACAGAGCTCATTCTCCTGGAACTGAGTTGTTGCTGTGTGGAGATGATACAGGAAGAGCCCTGGTGCCCAGCAGAGCCCTGGCTTTGCCTCCAGGTTATGGTAGGCTCCATTTCCTTTCAAATTCCATCTCCGGCAGCCCTGGGCTGGTTTCCCTGTTCTTAGGATAAGGATTTCCATGCTTCCATAGGAGCCAGAACTGCTCCTGTTGGTGAATCTGATTGCAGCTTCCCAGCTGTGCTTGCTGTGGAGATGATGCATGGAAATACCTCTGTTGGTCCTGGAGTTGGAGCAGTGGCCCCTGGAATCTCATGGATTTCACAAGAGCAAGGGCTGATGCTGCAGCTGGGTTGGGGCAGCCCAAGGGATCAATCCAGGCTGGGATGAAGGGATGGAKCAGCYCTGGGAGAAGGACATGGGGGTGATGGAGGGTGAGAGCTGGACATAACCCAGTCCACAAACCCCTATGTGCAGCAGGAGAGGGGGATTCTGCACAAGGAGGGTGTGGAGCTGCTGGAGAGAGTCCAGAGGAGGCCACCAGTGTGATCASAGGGATGGAGCAGCTCTGCTGTGAGGAAAGGCTGAGAGARCTGGGATTGTGCAGCCTRGAAGAGAGAAGTTTTGGAGTGGCCTAATTGTGGCCTTCTGGGGGCTGCAAGAAGGGTGGAGAGGGACTTGGGACAAGGGCCTGGAGGGAGAGGACAAGGGGGAATGGCTTCAAATTGACAGAGAGCAGGGTTAGATGGGATATTGGGAAGAAATGCTTTACTGTGAGGGTGGGGAGGCCCCTGGATCCCTGGAAGTGTCCAGGGCTGGGTTGGAYGGGGCTTGGAGCACCCTGGGGCTGTGAAAGGTGTCCCTGCCCATGGCAAGGGCTGGAATGGGATGATCTTTACAGTCCCTTCCAACCCAAACCATACCATGAGTGTACAGCTTGAGGTCGTATCTCTAAAGCTCCTTCTGAGGTCTCCTCTCTGTTCTCAGAGGTGCAGTTTGAGAAGTATTCAGCACACATTTCATTTTATCTACCAGCCCTCAACAGTGCTACCCTTCCCCTCTTGACCTTTTGACAGAGATTTTCAGCTTAATTATTTTTTCCCTTATTTCTGCTTGTTCCAATCTGGGATSAGATTGGAAAACCAGAAAAACTTGGGTATAACTTCATGGGAGGGTGCAGAAACTGCTGTTCATAGAATCAAAGAGTTGCTGAGATTGGAGGAGACTTGGAGGTCTCCACATCGGTCACYGTGCTCAGACTGGGGTCAGCTGTGGCAGCTTCTTCAGGAGTTGGTCCAGARTTTTGATTACTGGCCTTCCTTCAAGCCTCCAGTTTAAGCCTGTGACAAATTTCCCTGGATGGATGAAAGAGGAGGAGAAAAGCAGAGCAGATCAAAGAATCATGGAATTGTTAAGGTTGGAAAAGACCTTTACAATCTTCAACTCCAAGTTTGTTCACCACTRAACCACATCCTCAGGTGCTGTTGCCACATGTTTCTTGTGATGATGACTCCTCCACTTCCCTGAGCAGCCTGTTCCCGTGCTAGACAACCCTTTCTATGAAGAAATATTTCCTAAACCAAATCTAAACCTCCCTGCTGTTGCACTAGGTCTGGCTGTTTGCTGGTGTCACACCAAGCTGCCTTTGGAGGTTGGGAAAAGGTAGGAAAAAATCAAAACACWGGGAATTCCATCTGTGCTTATGGTCCAAGAGGCATCAGTGGAAGGCCTTGAGGCTCAGTGATGGTCCAGCAAGATAATCCTGGCTCTTCTGAAGTGCTTGTCAAAAATCTGTCACCCCTGAACTGCTGCTCTCATAGACAGGGTATTGACAGATCAGATTTGTCACTATGCCCATTAGTCCTGTCCACTCTTTCCAGTGTGGTCATTAGCAATGATTTGATGATCCTGACCTGTGCAGCAGCATTTGGCAGGAGATGCTCTGTATGAGCTCCACCTGAGCTGTCTYACCTGTGGGGCTGATCTCAAACTCGATTTTTACCTGTCCCACTGGCCAAGGGCTYATCTGGAAATGGATCCTTTCCCTTGTTTCACACCAGCTCTGCTGCAGTAAGTGGGGAATGTTGAAGCTTGGATTATCTGCCTTATCAAAGGAAGAGGGAGTTGGCCAGAGGATTGTAAAGATTGCAAAAGAGGGGAATTGCAAAGGATGTGGAAGGAAATGCTGTTTGCCCCTAGGGGTCGAAAGGAGTTTCTCTAGAAGTAATAAAACCAAGATACTGTTGGTTTGTTGATTCTGGGATGTGTTRCTAATCAGAGGCACTTGCAACCTTTAATTCTCCTGAATGTTGAACATAAGAATCCTTCTTTTAAAATTATTTTTGATAAATCATGTGTCCAACTCAAACCTCCTTAATAAACTACACAGGGACCTTTGTTTAAAACAAAAAAAAAAAAATACAAGTCAAAAAAATCGAGGTGGGGAAGAAAACAATGGCTGGGCTTCAGAGTGGACCTAAATTGAAAACGTCTGCAGTTTTTCCCAGGGAGAACAAGTGATCGAAAATATTGAATTGTAATTATGATGCTCTCTGGAGACCTGCAGCAAGGACCTGTTTTGCAGGGTAAGATCTGCCAGACTTGTTTTTTGCCCCCACTTTCCCTGTGATTTTCTCACTTGCTTAGGAACACTGGGAGCTGGGGAGACAGAAAAACAAATTCCATTAGTTCCTATCTGGTTGAACTTCCTGGAACCCCCACTATTTTTTTTGCTTCTCAGAATTTCCTTCCTCCATCCAGCTGTGTTTCCTGATGAAGCCTTATCACTGGAGAAAATGCTCCTGAGTGAGGCTGAGGATTTGGGAATGAGTTGCAGACGGTCCCAACTTGGTTGCTGAACAACATGATTCTGGCACTGATTTCGCTCTGGGGGCTGGGGGAGTAGCTCTGATTTGCTCCAACCCTGTTGGAGATGCATAAAAAAMCCGAGTGTTTTGCATCCATCTCACATCCATGGCTCAGGCCATTCCATGAGTAATCTGCTTCCTCCAAATTTGTGTAACTTGGATGTAAACCTGCGTAAGTTCCCTTCAAGTACCCAATCCAAGTAGCCCGAAAGTCTCAGGCTCGCAGTGATTTCTTCCTTGTTAGGCATTAGAAATGGAACTGTCCACCCCTGTTGCTTTTTCTCTTTTTTTTTTTTTTAATCAGGAAATTGTCTTCTGACACATTTTGCAGAACTTCCTCAACTGACTTGTATTTCCCAGCACTTATCAGAAAAGCATGTTGGCTAATCTTA